TGAATATTTAAAGGTAAAAGAGAAAAGTATTTGTATGAGTATTTGAATACCTTCAACACTATTAGTATATTAACAAAGTTAATTGGGAGTAGTTTTGGATGAGGTGGTGAAGGTAGTTGTTGTGGTGGTGATGATGATAAAAAGATGATCAACTTATATATTTAACTGAAATAACGGTTAACTATCATGAAAAGGGAAAGAGCCATTGATTTTGTATGTAACTGTCTATGAATTTAGTGTAAGTGTGTCAGTCTATTGTGTATATTGAATTAAGACGAATCAAATTCAGTAGTTACTCTTCATCATCTTTTGCTCATCTTAACCACTTCTCCTCTACCTTCATCTTCATCTTCATCTTCATCTTCTTCTTCTTCTTTTTTTTCTTATCCTTTAGTAGTTTTCACAATTGATTGGATGCTAACTAAATAATAAAACCTTCTAAACGAGAAAATAGTGTTAAGGAACAAGTTCCAAAAGAATCAGAATCATGTTCATCTCTCATGATGATGATGTTTCATGGAGAAGGTAAAAGTGTTCAATCAAAAAGAAAGAAGGAAAAGAAAGTGAAGATGAAGATAAAAGGTGGAGACAAAATTCTGAGACAATTGATGTTGATAATTCGTTAACATCATCATCTTCTTCTTCTTCTGAATATTATCATGAAAAAGGAAGGAAAAAAAATTGTTCGATATTTTCAAAGGTAAATAAATTTACCGTTAGAAATGTATCAATATGTATTCAGTTGTAATCTAATAATAAGTGAAATTGTTTCGTTTCTTGATTTTTTTTTCTGGTTACCCTGCTAATCAATTACGTTTTATGATTTGTTCACATAAGTTGAAGTTTAATTTTTAATCAATTTTCATGATAAAATAATGATCCTGATGATGAAACAATGATTATTCATTTGGTAAGAAAACAAATTACTAAACCAAGTGATTCCTTTGTGATTTACTTAATTGTGATTAGTGAACAGAGTGAAAAATGTTTTCAGTTTAAATTTATTTGTCTATTTTTTTTGTTTAACTTTTTTTCTTCCTTTCATCTTATTACTTATGTATTATCATGAAAATGAGATGATGAAGGTTGAATTTCATGATAAATGAGATGATAATCGAGGGTATTTTTTAAGATCATTTCCGCCATCAAATTATATTATTAAAAGTTAATATAAATTCAGGGAATATGATTACTCAGATTTCAATGGGGGTGAACTTGGTATTCATCAGGAAGGATATGGTGATGAGGTTGGAACTCTTCAGGTAAACAAAAAGCTGGGAACATATCAAATGTAACTTTAGTTTCGAGTTCTAGTTCGAGTTCTAGTTTGTTTTTTTTCGTCGAAAATGTTTCTCAGGTTCTTAGCTGTCGTCGATTTAGATGAAATTGCTTTTCAACATCATCATTTCCATCTAAATGATTGGCTCATAATCTGTAGTTGTTGATAGATTCAATTCGTCTATTATTCATGATCAGTGGGAAAACAAATTTCTCGAAATGTTTTTATTATTAAATATTCGAGAATAATCCAAGTATAATGATGATATTTAATATCTTAGTTCTAAGGTTATTCGATGATTGATCAAGAAACCTAATTTTCGCGCTCATTTGTTTTCTCTGTTTTTTTTATCCTTTTACTTGGATATTCATGTTCATGATAATAATTTGACAGTTTCCTTGGATATTATTATTACCATGATTTAGGAGAAAACATTTCCAGATAATCTGTAAATCAGAAAACTCTGGTTTCCATCTGAACTTTTCTTAAACCTCATCTTGGAACTTTTTTCTCTCTCTCTCTCTTTCTAATCTTCCACCCTCTTGATTTCCTGATGAAATTTGAAGATAAATTTCTCTCTCATCTTCTCATGTACTTTATCATCGACATTATCTTCATTCACTAACTGTGTATATATCAACTTATTATCTGAAACATTTATCCTCAATTTAATATAATATATTAGCATGAAGAGAAGGGAAAAAAATCCAATCATGAAAAGTAAAGGAGTTAACCTAAAAATCGAGGAGGAAAAAGTTCTGAGAAAGTTTTTCGATACTCGAAAATAATAAATATAAAAACTACAATAGTTTATTGAAAAATAATCATGTTAATGATCAAGGGGATGATAAATTGTGATTAACAAGAGTATATAAATTAAACAATGTTTAACTAATAGTATTATTGAAATATGATGATAAGATTTATTATCATCATATTTGGTTAATTTTTCAATGTATCATTTATTTAATATTAACTTTCACTGTATCATAATCAGAGAGGGTATTCAGAGTTACTCCTCCCTTTTATCCAGGTAAATTCTGGTTCAATTTTACTCTACCTTTTTTTTCAATATGCAAGATTAAAAGATGAAGAGATGAATTTATCTCTTCGATATTTACATTATTCTTTATTCAGTTTCTTTTGCATGTTCAAGTTCATTTTATCACCAAGATGATGAAAAAAAGAGGTGACATTGTCCTTTGAATAATGTTGCCTCTTGATGATAGTGATGATGAGGATAAAAAAAGCTCTCATCATTATCAGAGTCTATTTTGTTATGTTAGATGATGAGGGAATCCTTGAAATCAGAATGAATAGTCAATTGAATTGAATTGGTTACAACATTTACTTTTAGATGATTTTCATCTGATGTTCACAAATTTTATCATCATCATTATCATCTTATCATCTTCATTCTTACTCTTTCAACATTTTCCTTAGCATTTTCTTTTGCTCCTTTTTCATGATTCTTTGAGCGTGTCAAGGTCAATGAAGTGCTATGAATACTAAGAAAGAAGAAGAAGAAGAAGATGATGATGATGATGAAAAGAGAAGGCACTGAATTCTGAAGAAAATTTTCTTTCTTTCTTTCCTCTTTCTTTTACCTTCTTTCTTAGCTTTTTCCTCCTTCTTTTCAAATCAATCTCACACCCGAGAATGATAATGAATTGAAAATACACCAAGAAGGAGGGTATTGGTTATAATATAAGGAGAAAAAGAAGAGAAAACATTTTCATCAGCATTTCCCTTCTGACTCTTTTGTCTCAAACCATTAAGCACAATTAAATATTGTCAACTTAACCCAGAAGCAAATTCAACCATCTATCCCACTCCCACTTATCCTCCACCTCCATCACCTCGATCATCACCACCACCATCATTATCATCATCATCATCATCAACAACAAACATCAACACTCAATCAAGAGTAACAATATCTCCCAATGACATTACCATAAAAAAGACAACAACAAACGAAAGTTAATTTATCCTAATGATGAGAAATTATAAATTTAATTATAAATTGCCAATCAAATTAATAACCATCGCTCTCTCTCTCTCTCTCTCTTTCTCTCTCACTCTGATTAAGATATAAAAGACACAATCAAGAAAACAATTGATTGACACTTGATTGTTATCTTCATATTTAATATAAATAAAAAAGTTTAATCACCATGAAAGATTCATAAGTAAATGAGTTTATCATGATGGTGGAGAAAAAGTTTTTCCAAAATAACAGTTTGTTATAATTCAATCAATTTTTTTCCTTGATTCAGTTGAAAATACAATAGCTACAATGTAATAATAATAATGAGTTTAAGATTTGATTAAAAAAAGCTTCCAACAATTGATTCTATCAATAATGATTATATTAATCATGAAGATGATAATGACAAGGGAGAGAAGAAGAAGAAAAAAAATGATTATATTATCATGATGATTAAGGTTGACACAAGGAAGATGAAGTTGATTATTGTTATTATTTTGATAGAGAATTGGAAAAAGTTATCATTAACTTAATTGTTGTTTCTTTTTGTTAAATTGTTCTCATCTCTGAAATGATAAATGATTGAAGATGGAAACAAAATGTAAACAGAAAGTTAACTAAATAGAATTGAAATTTTCAGGTGAACTGAATAATGATCATCATCATGATAAGAATCATCATCAATGACTAAGGTCAATTGATGGAAAGATGAAGATGATGATGATAACGATTCCTTTGACAATAACTCACTCTCACTTTTAAGCTCCCACAACTTAATCAGTCTGAAAGTGAGTATTTAATTTATCATCATTATCATTCTTGACTATTATCATTTTCCTCTGATTCCTTCAAGTCTCTCATGATTTAAATCACCATTAACTCAGATGAATTTATCTATTTATGCAAGAATACATAGTTAATTCAATTGACCTCATAATCCACAGATAATATCATGTAAATATTATTCATCATGATAACATTATCATGATGAATACAACTATTTATATATATGATTTTTTTTTCAGCTTTACTGTTCATCAGCTTTTTGTTTTATCATCATCTTCATCATGAAGATGATAATTTCATCCTGGAATCATTATCACAACCACATTATATTTATAAAAAAAAAAGATATACACATGAAATGATTCATTGTTATGATGATGATGATGATGATGATAAAAGTTCAGGAATCAGATTCATTCATGGTAATCATAACAATAACAATGATCAATGTCAATAATGATAACGATTATAATGGTCAAGGAATAGACAACAATTGATGGTCAATAGTAAAAAAAATAAATAAATATATTGTTTACTCTTTGTATTAAATGATGACGATGATGATGATGATAAATATCTCGGTTTTATCATCCATGGTAAATGTTCATTATATTCCCAGAGGAATCAATGAGAAAATCTCATGGGGATTTTATTGAACTTTTTTTTTATCTTTTTTCCCTCTTGGTGATAAAATAAACAGTTTTTTAATTTGATCTAAAATATCATATTCCCTTTGATTGCAATTCAAACTTAATTTCAATTTCCATTGGAAAATAATAATCTGATCATGGAAAACGATAATAATAATAATGATGATAATCTAATCCGTTCAGATTAAGAACTTTTTTTTTGCTCTATTTGTTAAAGAAAATATTAATATTTCAATTTCAAATTGTTATTGATCATTAACTGATTTCGGTTTCACTTTCAATTGTATCTTTACAGTTGCAGTTTAAAAAAGATACCTGATGATTCATTTATATCATTAACTAATCTGGTTGAACTGGATTTAAGTAACAATTATCTGGATCATATTCCCGTTGGAGCCTTACGAGAGACCCGATCATTGCGACGTCTTTATCTTAATTTGAATGCGATCAAAAAAATTGATTCCTCAGCGTTTGTCCATTTAAATTCATTACAACTCCTTGATTTATCTAATTGTGCCATCACCTCCATCCAAGCAAATTCATTTGAAGGCCTTGAGAAACTTAATTACCTACTTCTCAATGGAAACAAATTAAAGTAAGTTATTAATTATATCATTTGTTAACTCCAACAATCAAACAGGCAAAGAAAATCCAATCTCTTTCATGGTGTGTTTAGGATTTTTCAAAATCAACTTGAATAAGTAAACAATCAATTCATTGAAATGATGATGATCATCATGATTAAAAAGAGAATTGTTTATGATGATGATGATGATGATCAAGTTAGAAAAAGTTTACCACCGGAAATTTGTTTCTCAATCGGAAATTAGTTCAATTCAATGTTTATGTTGTAAGATTATCTCTTATTTAAAGCTGAAAGTTTCAATCATCATGTAAGATAATTTTCACAATCATGTTAATCAGGAAATCACATATTCTTGGATAATTATTATTACAAATAATCAATAATATTGATGACATTTGGATGATCAATTTAATCAATTCATCTCGTTTCTCACAATATTATCATCACAACGAATCAAATTCAATAGATATTAAAATGAACTTTATCTTAGGTTATCAACTATCAACATGTTATCTTTATCTGAGCTCAGAACTTTTTTTCCCAATCAAAAGTATTTGATAGCTGTTTCTCTCTATGGTCGATATCATCTTCATCATCTTTACCTTGAGAAGAAAAAATCACTTGTCATTTAGATTCTATTACAAACTATATATATTATTATATTCCAATTCTTCATTCTCTTCTTCATCGTCATCATCTTCATGTCAAAGATTTCTACTTTTCCCTATTCTTTGGAAATACAATTTTCCATGATAAGATTGACAGTTTAAGGTTTCGTTAGCAGAGATTACATTTCTCTTGGAAGATGATATGTGAATGAGAATGATGATGATAATGATGAGAGAAAGGAAAGAGAGAAGAAAAAAAATAAAGTATTTGTGATTCTTTTTTCGCTCTCCATCTTCTGAATTGTTCATAGATTTCCGGTTCTATCATGAGAATCAAAATTCCTGAATTTAAACTATCTAACTAAGGATTTAGAACCATTTCCATACACTTTTCTTGTTCTAAATCTTCATGAATTTTACTTTTTCAACACCAATTTTTGGAAAACTGTGTTACTTGAATTCTTGGTAATTTTGTATCTCATTTCCATTAAAAATTCTGAGTCTCATGTTGACCGGGAATCTATGATTCCTGTAACGATAATAATAATAATATAATTTAACCATTTGATAGAGTTGCACAGGAAGATGAATTTATAAATTACAATAGCAACAATCTTAATAGTGAATCAATATATTCATGCAACAATTGAATCATCAATGGGAATCAAAGTGTAACTAACATATCTAATATTCAAATCAACTAGCACATTAAAACATCAATCATTTGAACAATAAACTGCTTCTGTAAATGATTTGATGCAGAAAAAAAAAGTTAATCAATAAAAGAGATATTGATTAACATTTAACTTTTTTTTTCCTCAACGAAAAGAAGATTAAAATTGCTGTTTAAATCTAATAGATCCTTAATCCTTTGCAACTCTATCTCTCTCAATGATTAACTTGAAACTTTTTCCTGGTTAAATTATGATGTAAATCCATGAGATGTTAATCCTTTTCATATCCTTTAACTTGATTGTCCAAAAATTGATAACATGGTGTAAAATTGGATAAGAGTAACATGATGATGATTATGTTAATCACTTGAATGATTGTAAAAATTTTCTCTTCTCGTCTCAATTGTTGTTACCCGGAATTCATTGATTGTTTGTTCATCATTAGTGATCATCATTTTTTTTTGCTGTAGAAAAAAAGAAAAGGATAAAAAACGTTAGTTTGTTGTTGTTCATCTTAAATTTACATATTATATCATTTCGATTATCATTATTACTATATAATAGAACATAAATATATATGAACATATTTTTTTTTCTCCTTTCGAAAGCAAATGGAAAGCATTTTTCTCTCAATTTAAATTCAATTTAACAATTCATTCGAGAATTCAATTCTCCAACCTTAAGCTTATTCCATTGAACGTTGAATATGAACACTTTATGTATATTCCAATCTTTACCTTTCCATTTTCTTATGTTAGTTGCTGACAAAATGATGAAGAAAACAACATCATATCTTGTAATATTTTCTCTCTCTCACTTTTCATATCACTTTTTACTCACCTTTTCTCCATCATGGTAACACAGTCACAATAACTATAATAATGGTAATAGTTTTTTTCCGCTGATAATTCTGACTGATTTAATAAATTTAAATTGTCGGTGACGAAGCAATTTTTTCCTTCAACACACATTAGAAAAAGAGAGCACAGAGAAAAATATGATTAATGTCAATGAAAATTATTGTGTCAAATTTAGTTAATACATTTACAACATCATCAGTCTCACAAAAAGGATAAAGAAAGAAAATTCAAATATGATGATAAAGATAATGAAGATGTTGATAAGGTAAAAACAAAATGGAGGTAAAGAGATGAAAACAAAGAGAAGAAGAAGAGAAAAATAGAAAAATAGAAAAATAGAAAAAAAAGAAAAAAAAATGGAGACAATGAACAGAAATTCTATAATTTCTGTTAACGTTTATATCTCACCGTTGATGGAAAACATTGTAAATGGAAAATTGTATTAATTGTTGCTCCTCTCAGGTACACAATTACGAAACAATTTACAACAATTAAAAGAACAATTTAAATTAATTTGTAAAAAGTTAAACACACAATTAGAAATGAACATTAATCTTACAATTAGATGTTCATCTAACTCCATCTAATGTCTAATTGAAACTCTAATCGATTCTCATTGGTTGATAAGTAGAAATTTAAAATTCTTTTCATTTGTTAACCGATTTCGATTGTGATTTAATTAATTGTTTTCTTTTGTTTTCTATTCTTATTCTGTTGTTAATTGTTTTCTATTTTTTTGGAACATTTTGTATTGTTCTTAGTTGTGAGATTAATTTGTTCTTTTGTTGATGAACATCTTTTTTTTTGTTTCTTCTTCAAATTCTCAATGTGATTATTTAGATTTGAATGTTGAGAGTTTTGTTGATAATTTTGTTTTCATTTTTTGTTTTCTTCTTCTTTCATTCATTTGGTTTGTTATTTTCTTTTCTAAATTAATTTAGAGACTTACCTGGTTCCATTTTGGATTCTTTGGTTTCACTGAAACAAATTAATCTCCATGAGAATCATTGGTTCTGTGATTGCCGGATTATTGACCTTAGATCGGGTTTGATTGACCGATCAATTTCAATTACTGTGCCTCCAATATGTGACAAACCGATCCGATTGAAAGGTTCATCTTGGCAAAATTTGGGTCCAGATGAATTTGCCTGTAGTCCAAAAATTACCTCATTAACTAGTGCCAAATTTATTAAAGGTAAGATTGATCATCTTAGGCCTTTCATCTACCATAATCTCATTGTTTACATTGTAACGATCTAATAACTAATTGGCTCTTCAACTAATATTTATTTTCTCTCTTCAATTGTCTCTTACAATAAACAGGATCAAATGGAACCATAACCTGTCGTATTCATTCAACACCGATGTCCAATGTCTCTTGGTATTTTGAATCGAATCAAATTTCTAGGCAGATAATTAAAAATAGTACCTATATGTCATTTGGAAAACAGTATGTTACCATTAGAGATACTCTGATGGACAATGGACAAACATCTAAATTGACGATTACTGAGACCATGGAGAAAGATTCTGGAACGTAAGTTTTATCATAAACCATGACCATTGACTATCATGATGATGATGATGATGATTAACATTTTATGTTCTTACAATTCAATTCAATTCAATTTTCTCTTTCTTTCAATAGGTATATTTGTTACGCATCAAATAAAGCAGGAAATGCATCAAATTCAATAGTAATTGGCGTTATCCAACCTGAACACTCTGGTGAAGAAGAATTGAGATCATCCGATAAAGATGAACAAATTGGAATAATTTTAGCCACAATATTGGTCTTCCTTTTAGTTATCCTTTCAGTTTGTTTCATATTTCTACGAAATAAAACTTCACTATTCAGTAGCATCTTTAAAACCTCCAACACTGAAAATCTTGCTGGTGAAAAGATTGAATCAAATTCCACCCTGGATCCATCTTACCATAATTGTAAACCAACACTAACCAATCATATTATAAACAAATCGATTGATAATGAACAAGACAGAAAGAGGCCATTTAATCAACTCACCTCTAAATCGTCATCAACAACGTCAACAATTGGTGCCAAAGATACAATAGTGATAACTCAATCTAATGGATCACTTTTAACATCGGATACTTTGGTTAAAGTTTTCCCACCCGATCAACATTCAACAACAATTAACGATAACAATCTAAGTCCAAATATTAGTAATAAATCACCTGATGGAAGTGGTTTTGAAAAGTGCCTTGAATCTTATCTAATGATGTCTGAGGATGAAAATAGTATGCTACTCCCGAACCGAACCAATAACTCAACAATAGAAAATCAAGTTGACTATAATTCAATAATCCAACAACAACAAGAATCAACCGATCAACAATTAACATCACTTCTCTCACAAGAACAGTTAAATCATCATCTCCACCACCCACAACAACAACAACAACAAGCAATCAATTGGGGCCAAGATGTTTACGATCAATCAAATATATATTCAAATCGATCCTTAAATCGACGTTATTCCGATTCAAGTGCTTCTCTCATGGTTAAACAGCTCAATAACAATTTAATTCCAGTAATTAACAGCAGTCGAGTAACAGTGCATGACGATAATTCAATTGAATTATTAACAAGAAGTAATAACAATAATCATCCAACAACAACAGCAACAATTGATAGATTCAGGCCTAGACGGTTATCAGAAGGAATCATTACCAATCGAGTTAATGGTTTATGGAATCGTAATCATCATTTAATTTCAGCAACAATCAATATCCATCCAAATGAAGATTATTCTAATTGGAGTATTGGTCAACATAATCAACAACAACAACAACATGTTGTTATTAACAATAATGATCCCGATTATCTTGGTAAAGTTAATCTAATTGGATCAGAAAAAGATAGTCTATTAAGACGAAATGGTTTCGCTAATTATGATTATTCAACACTTCAATCTCACCGTCGATGCTCAAAATCAGGTTTATCGTCCCTTCATAATAATAATGTGGTTAACAATAATTCATCAGCATATTTGAGAGCTTTATCATTGGAAGATTCAAGTTTATCTCCAACATTTCCAGTTATCCATGAATCTGCTAAAGAATATGAAAGTGAATTAAAAAATTAAACTGTTCCAAATTAATCCAGTAAATCTAATTCGAGGAATCAACCGTTTTAATCGCTGAATCTTTCCATTTAAATTTCGGAATAATATTCCTTGGCCTAATATTTTCATTCTCTGTTATGATAACAGAATAATAATTATCTAATTATATTATCCATCCTACCAATTAAAATATTATTCAATTGTAATTAATTTTTAAATCAATCAAATGGTAATCAAGAAAAAAAAAATTAACTACTTCATCTCATTTGCTTGTGTTCATACATATAACTTGTTATTATTGTAAAGTAAATTGATCTGATCAATTTTCTAATTGTAATTATAAAATACACAACAATTTGTCTTATGTATCAACAAATTGAACTAATTGTACATAAAATAAATAAATTAAGAAAATAAATTGTAATCAAAAAGTTTGAAGAAAAAAATTTTCGAAAATTTTTGCCAACTGGCGACATCTCTTGTTGACCTTTTCTACTAACCGAATTCTCTTTTAAATTTTTCCGATTTATCATCAAGGAGAATGAGAAAAAAGTTCAACAATTGAACTTCAATTGACTTTAATTTCCAATTGATAATTAATTTAAAGTTTAATTTGTGGGAAATTTTTTTTCTAATTAGTTAAATTGTGAATGTTGATTCCATCTATGATTGATTTAGAAACGATTGGAATCTTGAGTTGCTGGTCTAACCAAAAGTCTAAAGGTATTTATGTAAATAAGAAAATGACCTTACATGTTAATTGAAACTCTTGTTTTTTGATTGGATTAATTGATTGGTTTTTCTTTGTTGTTTTCTATTTTCTTTTTTAAATTCAGCTAATATACCAACTGATATGAACAATTTTCCATGAGATTTTATCTACAACTTTAATCACCATCATAAACTAATGGAGATAAAAGAAATGGAAACATAAAACCACAGAAAAGCTCTAATGAAAATCCACTGGACTATAAAAGGAATGATGGTTAATGGATAAGCTTTGGAAAAGGAGGAAAAGTTAACCTTTTTGTTTGTCATCATCATGGAAATTGGATAAAAATAACATTGATTGACACTGATAATCAATTGATTAGTTTCAACGATTCTATGGTTATTATTATTAATCTACTCTCACCCAGTGAAAGTAATCAATTTCTCTTGGATGATTTTACCATTTACATGTGATCCATAAAAGGAATAGATGAGAAAACAAAAACCAAAGAGAATAATAAAAAGTCCCAATGGAGAGAAAGACAAAGAAAGCTGATGTTCGTTGTTCTAATAATCAAATCAAATTAGAATTAACAAAATTCAATCTATTTTTACCAAAAGGAGTTACAATTTAATCCAAATGATGATAAACAAGGGGAATGTATTTTTATACCATCAACCGAAAAGACCACAATACATTTATGCTACTATATTTGTAGTTGAATGAACGTTTTAATCAATAGGAAAGGAGGAGAAATTTGGAGGATTAATTGTATTTAAAGCAATTTCCAGATTATCAACAATTTAATAACAAACAAATTGCGTAAAAAAAACAACTGAAAACAAGGATAAACACCTTAGGTACTAACCGAGTAAACAAAACATCATCATCGGAAAATCTAATAATAAGCGACGATTAATCAGTTTATTTGTTTACTTTAAAGTTTATTTTAATTAATTGTTAATCATTTAACATGGTTTATAATTAGTTGACTGGTTAGCAACTGAGGATTGACCATTTAGTTAATTGTGTGTTGATAAAAAAGCAAATTACGCTCTGTCCTTGAGAGTAACAAGTTAAACAACTCACAGAAACTCATCATTATCAAGATTCACACTTAATTAACGGACAATTTATTTGATGAAAGAAAAATTTACTCTCCACCTTTAAATTGTAATTACAATTAATACTCACGTGTACCTCTGGTAATATAAATATTAACCATAAACTTTGAGCTCTTTTCATTAAATCAATTGTTGCCTTCGAGTAAACATCAAGTAAATCAAGTAAATATCTTGTTGATTGTCGAGTGAAATTGTAATTAAACTATTCTAATTTGTTTGTTTCAATAATTTCCTAGCAAAGAATTAATTTAAATCATGAATTTCTTGTTAATTGTTACCTTTATTTCACTAATTGCAACAGTTTATGGATTTGAACCTCCGAGAAAACCATGTAAGTGTAACAGTGATCGAAGTTTAATTCTATTCAACTAATTTAATTCGAACCAATTTATTGATTGTTAATTGTTTTCTAATTGTTTCACAATAGGTGAAAAAGTTGATCAATTCTCTCAGTTAATTAGTATCGTTTCTTACAACAATTCAAATGAAACTTATTGGCAAGCGACACCAGGAAAGGAAATGAAAGTTGATTTCATTTTCGGTAAGTAAATCAATTAATCAATTTAATCACCAGTAATGGACAATCAATTGATTGTCCATTAACAATAATAATAATAACAAAAATTATCAATGAGGAAGTAAAAATATGAAAACAAAACTTTTAATCAAGAAAATTAGTTAATTTGATTGATCATCAAAGTCTTTAATTAAATTTGAATCTCTCATTTCTAATTGTTTCTCTTTAATTAATTAATTAATTAGTGGCTAAGGAAGGTTTCGGTAAAATTGAACAAGCAATTTACGCCATTTTAGATCCTAAAGGTGGTCCCGGTGGTAAACCATTGGAATTGTCTTACGAGAAACCGGAAGATGCTTGTAAATTTATCAATTCTACTTCCTGTCCATCAGAAGGAATTAAAAAAGATCAACCTTACCGAATGAATTTATCATTTGTTGTTCCTGCTGCAGTTCCAAAGGTAAGTTTTAATGATTAAATTAATCTTAATTAGTTCGATAATCACTTAATCATTTCGTTAATTGTTGATAGATCGCATTGGAGGTTCGATTCATAGTCAGGGAAACAATTACATCTAAACGATTAACAAGACTACAGAAAACTAATTGGATGAAACATCCAGGGAAAATGATTATTTGCTATCGACTTCCAGTCCAAGTGGTTTACAATTAAATCATCATCGAGTTAATTATCATCACAATCAACAATACATACAAAACAGAAACTTATTCAATAACTATTAATATAATAATCATCACTTTGGATCAACATTATCATCACTTTTTTAGTAACAATTTGATTAACTGAATTTAACTAAACTGTAAATAACTGATTTGATTATTAGAGTTAAACAAAATAAATTATTTTTTTTACAATTGAATTTAAACAAATTGTAAATTATTTCAATTGCAATGAACGTGAAAACAATTTATAAAAGTTTCAAAATGATTTTTGGTTAATTTTGTTTCAATTTGTAATTGATTTGATTGATCAATTGTTCAGATAAATTTTTTGTTTACTTGATAGTATAACTTTCACTTAATTTATATTATAATTGTTGATGATTAACGTCATTAGATTGTTATCAAATTGTAGTGATTAATATTATTGATGATGTTTAAAAATCATTAGCCCGGGAACTCCCAATCTTGTTGATTATTGATTATACTTGAAGATAACCGGTTTAATTAAGTTAAATAAACTCATTTGTTAATCAATGATTTTAATTGCCAAAGATCATTGAATGATCACCGACCACGAGAGTGTTGATTGTAATTAACTTGCAACTTTATAAATTAATCAAATAACATAAGAATTGATTTCTTGATTGGCCATCTGATTGATTTTATCACAGATTTTGAAGTAGTCCAGATAATTGATTGGAATTGAAATCAAAATCATTTTGGTTTTTAAACAAGTTTGACAGGTTCAATCATTAAATCAAAAGTTGGAGCCAATCAATTGAATCAGGTTTGTTTGTAGGAAAGTCTAGAAAATTAACAATTGTGAATAAAAGTTGATCAATTAATTGTTATTAATACATCAGCGAAAGGGTTGTGATGATGTTTGATTAGGGTTTAGAAAATAAACTTCCAAATAAAATAAATTCTCTCCGATTTTGACTGAATTTGCTTCTTGGTGTGTGTTTGTTTAAATCTACAATTGAGATTCAATCGGTTATTATATAACCAAGAATTAGATTAGATTATCACAATTAGCCGAGAGATAAATTTCCAAGTGTGTTAATAGATATCAAGGACTGATTCCATTCTCTCTCTCTCTCAAGGATTGTACCAATCAAGGAAGAAAAGAGTAAAAGAGAGAACGATGTTAAAGAATAGAATCCAAATTCGAAGCTGTCCTTTATTCTTAATGGCTGATCTAAGCTCTTCGTTTCCCACTCTGATGTTAGACGAGGTTTCCACCGCTGTACCATGGACTCTTTGAATCTCTTCATCTTGTTGGAGGAAATTTTGTTGAAAAGTTTTATGTAATTGAGCAATTTCGAAAACATTTCCTTCAATTGATCTGGAGAGAAAAATGAAATAGAATAAGAAAATATGAAAATATGAAAATGAAATTAAAGGATAAACGATTGTTTTAAGAGACTAAATTTCGAAATAAACAGAAATAAATCACTTACTTGGTTTCGGATTCTAGTAAATTAATGTCGGCAAAAAGTTGGGAATTTTCGTTCTCAAATAATTGTAGCTCCTCTTTGGAGAAATCACTTAATTGTTGAGGAGATAAATCATTATAATCATTATCAAAATTGGAAGTTAAATTTCGTTTCAAGGGTGCGAGAGGATCGTTTTTGATTAAATCGTTGAAATTATCTTCGTCATCATCATCGGCGTCACGAGAATAGATAAACTCATCTGGACAAGGTTCTTTGTTGAACAAATCACGATCTAATCGAGCGAGTTTTTGTTTATCGGTGATTCGTCTGATTCTGAAGGCTCGAAGGTCAGAAAATAGATCACAAACGACTTTTAGATAAGTTTCAATGGATTCGATTATTGCAGTCATGATGTCACGTCTTTGTACACTTAACTTGGTCCCTTTCTTTTGCACTACGAACAATTTAAAAAAAAAAGATTGAAAATGTTGTTAGTTTAACAATTAACAATTAGAATGAATTTTGCTCAACTTACTTTCAGCTTTGAGTGATTCAATCTTAGATTGACAGACTTTCATCGATTCAACCATATCCTGATCGATTTGATCTCTTTCCATGTCACTCATGGTTGATGCCCGATTAGATAGAGAACTACTACTCAAGATAGAGAAGAAATTAAAAGAAATTAGATAAGGTTTA